TTAAAATAATTATAGATTCTTGGAAAGTTGCAAAGATATCACAGAAAGACATCTTTAACATCCCCCAATAGTTTTAATGTAATTTTATGTAATTATATGTAATATCAAAGCAGAAAATCACCAGTTTACCACATGTGTAGATTCATGTAACCACCACCACCACAATTAAGATTCAGAACTATTCCATCACCACAAAGATCTCCCTCATGCTACCCCTTATACTTATAGTCACACCCTCCAACCCCCCACCATCCCTAACCCATGGCAACCACTAATCTGTTCTCCATCTCTATAATTTTGTCATTCTGAAAATGTTATATATATATGGAATTATACAGTATGTGACCTTTAGAAATTGGTTTTTTTCATGGTTATTTTTTATTGTGAGTCAGTGAATTTGCAAAATTGTTCGTAGAATTGGTTTGAGATGATGCTGTATTTTTTCTCAGAGAATGCTTCTTCTGCCAAGTGCCTGGTGTCCTAGTACTCTGAAATCACCTGGGTTAAAGTTTAGGGATTGACATCTTACAAATTGAGGCACACTCCCTGTGAGGGTCTATGTAACTTCTGGTTCGCACTGCTTGGATGCAGCCTTTCAGGATTCCAACCCAAAGTTTAAGGAATGGAGCAGATCCACCATGACTCTTTCCCTTGGTGGGCTCAGGACCCCAATCCCCACTCTCCTTAGCTTCTTAGCCTCTCAACTGTTTTCGCTGGAATCATCTAACATACCCCAGTAAAAGGAAGCTCCAAGATCCTGACTAGCCTCTCTGAGCCTTTCTTCTTCTCTGTATTCTAGCCTAGTAATTTTTCTCTATCTTGTTAAATTTGCATTTCTTCAAGCACGTGATTTTTATACACTTTGTCCAGATTTTATAATTATCCTCAGCAGTGAGTGGGTCTGAATCACCCAGTCTGCTATTACCGGAAACCAATGTTTCCTATAGTTATGTTCTCTTTGACCCACACATATTTAAAATTTTAAAAATTTAAATGATTTTGAATTTTTGAATAAAAACTGGGATATCTGACTTTTATTGATATCTGAATGCACTCAAAACAAAAATCAGGTAAAGCAGTGAGGAAATATTGCCCTCTTTAGGAAAAGCACTTGATCTCAATTTGGCTACAGTCTTCCCTCTCCCCTATTATCTGTGTCTGCCACTTCATTTATTTAAATAACATGCCTGTCTCGCCCATATAAGCATTCTTGTTTAAAGGAAACTTTTAAATTTAATATGACTTTTTTTGTTGCTAGAATTTTGTTAGTAAATGAGATCTTCATTACTCTAAATTTTGGTCATTTTTATTCTTTTCTCCTATCATTTAGAAGTGCCAGCTTGTGGCACAAAGTCATAGTCCTTGTACTATTCCCATTAAATGACTGAGCCTCTATCCAACCAATTCTAAGAGTGTCTTTCTTGTCTCCCTACAATCTAGCCTCTCCTGGTAACTCTAAATCCACTAAGGATATTTATTTACTATCAGTCCTTATTACTATTGCTGAAGAGAGAAAACTGGAAAGCATCCTCAGTCATCATTGTAAGAGACGGATTGTTAAAAGTCCCTGTACTACTACTACTCCCATGATTCGCATGGTAAATTTACTTCTCAGAATCTATTTTTACACTGTTTAACTTAGTGTAATCATGATTGCTCTCTCATACCTCACAGAGTATAAGTAAACAAGAAATATTAAAAATTATGGAATATAAAAATCATTACTTAGACTTTAATATCATCATTTTACTAGTGTCAATCATTTTGTAAGCATCTTTTGAGAAACCACTGTGGCCCATGTGTTTTGTTGTTTCATGCCGGCGTGTAGCTTCAAAGTTATAGAAAGAATATGTTGATTCTTAAGGAGCTTAAATTTTATCTAAGAGAGAAAACACAGAAAGCAATAAAAAATGTACGTGAGATATACATGAAATACTTCTATAGATACAAAATGATAGAATAAAAGGAAGTGTATTTTGCCACTAGGATGCCAATTAGAAGAGTAATAAGAAGTTGGGGATGTTGAACAAGAAAGGCTCTTGAAAAATGTTCTTGGGTCAGATTTTGAGGAAAGTTTTAGCCATGGACTTACAGAAGAGAGAGGTGAAGCTATTCCAGCAAGTGGTATTTTTTGCAGAGCTTTTCTTTCCAGGAGCTCAGCCAGTCCACATTTATTCTTTTGCTGCAGAATTTTGAAGGAGATTTTGTAGTACATTGGCGCAGAGTTGATTTTTTTTAATGCTCAGGAATACGTAGACAGTGAAGTATACTACATATAAAAATAGGAAAGGAGAGAGAATAACGAGGATAGATGATCATCTCCACTCTCAGTTTAGTCTTGTCATTTTCCTTCACTATTCAGCAGAAATATTGCACTTCCTGCAGGAGGTAATAAGATGTTTAGTATATGGATACTGACCTTAAGGAGCTTACAATTAATTGCCAGTAGAGCTTTCGGCACCTAAGTGAGAAGTTAAACAACATGCAGTAGTTACCTAGACATGCAAGAAATGTCACAAGGAAGTGGCTGAGAAATACAAAAAATAGTGCTGACAAGTCCTAGCAAAGCTCAGAGCAAGCAGAATCTTTGATGGTTGGCTTGAGGGAAAAGGGCTTCATGAAAGAGATGTACCTTAGAATCATTTCAGCAGGGAAACCATAGAGGTCCTCTAATCCAACTAGATGAATCCCTTCTACGACATCACTAATGAATGGCTCTTCTTTTTTTATCCTCTCCCGTAATACAGAATTCACTTTCATGAGACATCCTATTTCAAGTTCTTAGAACGTTCTTCCTTATACTCAGCCCCAAATCAGCCTCCTTATAAAATCTGATGGTGCCATCCAGAGCTTCCCTGTCCCTGTGTCCGTCATCCTTAGGTGCTCCAGTGTATTGCAGATGTGCTGGCTTATTTTTAACTTGGCCCTCCTAGCTGTCCTGTAGGGCCTGACGTAGCCACAGCACCAGAGTGCTGAGGTTTATAAACCTCTTGTGTTTATCACAGTGCGATAAATATTATCACCTCTTATGTATGCTCTGCTGTGAAAATGATTGTGAAACATTGCTCAGTAGAGCGTAGTGGCAAAAAGATCCGGGTTCTGGTATCAGACAGACCCAAGTTAGAATCTTGGCTCTGCCAGTTATTAGTTCTCATACCTTGAGAAAGAGACTATACCTTTTCAATCCGTAATTTCTACATCGTAAAATGGGCACAATAATACTGGCTCCCTTACGGAGTTGATATAAGAATCAAGGTGATAACACATTAGGATGAATAAAGACTATTATTGTCATTGGTTCTGTTTTCACCCTTTTTAATCATGATATAGAATTCCTCCTCTGTTTTACAAACTTCAAGTTTTTTAAAGCTAGTTTTTGTTTTCTCTCAGTCTCCTCCTCTGGCTAAATATCCCAAGTTCCTTCAGTGTCTTCTTATTCAATGTGAGTTCAAGTTTCTTCAACTTCTTAGTTGCTCTCTTCTAGACGCCCTGTGGCGTTTTCGTGTTTCCTTTTAAATATACAGTACAAAGAACAGAATGCACCCCTGCAAATGTGGCTTGCTGAGATTGTCCTTGAAGGATGGAGGGAATAGGGGAATGGAGGAAGGATACTCTCACTGGAGAACAGTGAAATGAGCAAAGGAGAAGAAACCATAACACATATGTCATATTTATCAACAAATGGGCCTACCTGGCTAGAAAAACGAGTCATGGAGAAAAAAGATTTTAAAGGGGCTGGATTGTGAAATCGCTGGAACTATGAGACTATGGATTCTATCAATATAAAGGGAAACCAACCAAATCGTTGGAGATGGATGTATCACTTGAAAGCAAGCAATCACAGAATTCATGTGAGCTACTCACAAGCAGCAAAATGTTATAAAAGTTAGAACCCTTCTTTTGTCCCTTTTAGATGGAAACAATCAATAACCCTACAATCACCCCAAAGGAGATGCTGAAACCTTGGAGATGATCCACAAACCACACATTCCCCTTGGCTGTTGGCTGCGTAGTCCACTATGGTTACAAAGAGGATGGTGACCCAAAGAAGTTACTTTGTCCTATCCTGGGAGTCATAACTCAGCTTCAACTTCCAGGTTTATTTTATTCCTAACCCTTTCTCTTCTTGTCTTCTGGTCTTTCTTCCATTCATGCAATTTGCATAATGCTTAGAACATCTGGGGGTTCATGCCCCACCTCTGCTGGGTACTAGCTGTATGACTTTGGACAAACTACTCAGCTTCTTTTTAACTCAGTTTCCTCTTCTGTAAAAATAAGAATTTTTACAGAACTTTAAAAATTAATTGTGACCATGAAATAAGTTAATGTATCTAAAATGATTAGAAGAGATCCTGGCAATAATAAGTGCTATTTATGTTAATTGTTATTTTGGGTCATTATTATTCATAATTCAACAGATACCAGACACTGTTAGGCACAGGGGCTGCATAGGGGAACAGGATAACCCTTATCCTCAATAGTCACATTTCTCCTCATTTTGTGGGGAAGGCAATGACTTTGGAAGCAAATTCCTGGATACAGTACAATTTATTAGCTACTATTTATTGTCTTTGTAACCTTGGATGAGGCATTTAATTCCTCTGAGCCTCTTTCCTCATCTGTAAAATGAGCATTAATAAAATCTACTTGGAAGATTTGTTCCAACTATTAAATAAGATAAAATACGCATATTACCTGGCACACAATTGGAACTCAGCACACACTCCTTCCCCCATAATCTTGTGGCCACATCTGAGGCGGGGGCACTCAACTCTGAGTTTAGGAGCCAGCGCTTTCTTCTAAAGCGCCAGGCAAGAGTATGGAGGTGTAGCAGGAACTCGTCTTCAGGAAGGGCAAAAGCGAGGAGGCGTCAGAGAGAACATAAACAGGAGAGAGGCAGAGAGGCCGCCCCTGGACTACATCTCCCGGGATGCTCAGCAAGCGGGAGTGCCCCGCCCCGCCCCGCCCAGCCGGCACAGCAGGCGCTGCCCACCCCGCGGAGCCCAGCGGCGCGCAGAGCCTACAAGTGCCGCGGCTGGTGATCGGGGGACTTTCCCGAGAAGCCGCGCAGGGGCGAGCGCGCAGTGCTCCAGCCGCACTGGGTGGCCAAGGCAGGAGGTAAGTGGCGGAGAGTGGGAGGGAGAGGAGGCGCTTGGGCGAAGGAGAGACCCCGGGAGCCTTGCGGAGCAGGGGAGCGCGTCCCCACTCCCTGCCCAAGGTGTCTGCCTTGCCTCGGGGTATTCGGCGAACGCAGCCCGACTCCGCGTTGCCTTGGGGGGCGGGGGGCGCGGAGTTCACCCGGAATGGATTGATTGATCGCGCGGGGGGCCCCGCTGCCCGGTGTTTGCGGCGCGCCCTCCCAGCACAGCACGCGCAGGACGGATCCCGAGGTCGCCTCCCCTAGACCAGCCTCGCCCGTGACACTTAGTTCCAATGCAAATATTAATGCTCTTAATTGATGGCAGACTGACGAGGGAAAGTGCAGTCTCCTCGCTTTGAGGTGCAATTTCATTAACCGCGCTCTTAAACAAACCAGAGAGAAGAGAAGCAGGGGACGGAAGGAAAGAGCCTTTAGGTAGTCCCCGGGGATTATCCATTCTCCACTGAGGATGGAAGCCCCGGATTGCGGAGCTGCAAAGGAAATCTACTGTGCAGCTAGTGTATCTCCTATGGAACAAGCAGAGTCGCTCATTTCTTTAAAGAGAGAGAAAAGCAGGAGAAGGGAATTAAGTGGAGATTTCTCTCCCTCTTTGTTATAAATTAGAAGTCCCATAAGGGACTCTGCCGGTTTTATCCAAAGTAGTCCAATATGATGAGTTAATTGTGCCAAAGGTTAGAGCGCCTAATGTCTGAGGAATCTGCGAGATGATTTCTCATTTCAGTAATTGATCAAACCCGTTACCATCGCTTCGTTCACTGAGGGATCCTGCAGTGGAGGTCTGTCCACTTGCTAAAGGAAAGCTCTGGTTCAGTTGTGGTTTTCTGGCACTTGGTGTTTTTTTTTTTTTCTTCCTGTTTTAGCTGCAGAGAAACTTCGATAATAGAAGTGTTTTTTGTTTTTAAAACAAACTCTAATGTAGAGCAGAAAACATGTGGATTCCCCTTCCCATATTTTAAGTGAGTTGCCACGTAGACCTTAGGTGCGCCTTACCTGTGGTTGCTTCTGTATGGGTTACCAGCTGTTGGAGCTGTGGATTTTGAAGCATAATGAGTTCCCAAGCCATGGGTTAAATCAGTTCTTGCCCTGGACTTGGAAGCAAAATAAAAGGGGCCGTTGCTTGAAACTGCTGTACTTGCTAATGGTGGAAAGTGAATTTTTATTCCTCAGAAAGATGGCAGAGGCAGAGAAAGATGGGCACATTTTTTTCTGCTCAACCCAAAGTTCTATCCCAGAAGGGTGGGAGTGAGGGCACGTCGGGCATACAGAGTTCCAGAGGTAACTTTGGAAATAGCTTCTCACCTATTTGCCCCAACAGAACTGTGACCCTGTAGGTTTATAATTTGTCTTTTATTGTCACTTTACTTCTAGACTGGGTTTGTAAAAACTTATGGTGGTCAATTTCCTGTGCACGTTTGTTAGCAAAGCGTGCAGAGGGAGAGGAACTCAGACCCACTCAGACCCAGGGAGTAGCGGACCTGTACTGGGGCAGGCAGTTGTGTGTGTGGAGGACTGCGTATTTTCAGGGATTACACAGTGAGACGTGTTGTCTACATACTTCCCGGTCCAGAACAGGCTGCCCTCATGTAGCAGCACGGGCATGGCTGGGAATGGAAGCACAAGGCACAAACATAGGCTCTTGTAAATGCAGGGCTGTGACTGGGGTCACTGGATTTATGAGGTGTAAGGTTAGGAGCCGTGGCTGAGTGAGCCGGCCATCTTTCACCCACTTCAGAGCTACCCAGTCAAAATTCTGAGCCCCTACTCCAGTAGAGCCCTGCTGATAGGGACATATTTGTTCACCCATGGTGATGCTCTAAAGCTAATCTGTATTAGAATGTGTTTTGAACTAAAGAGAATGTAAACACTTATAATTATACCCGAATTGTTGAGAAGTCTGTGCTTCCCCAGGTTCTCCAGAAAATCAGCAGCTCTGCTAAAAAAGGTCCTACCTTTCTCATTTGTGTCTCTATACAGGAAACTTGCCTTCTCATTTGAGGGATCCTGTCACAGAAATGTGTGAGTCCTTGGATAAATTTGGCTTGGTGACGGCAATGCTTTCTTCAGAGACACTGCCACTTCCTCCAGTCTCCTTTTCTCCCCTGACCTAAGTTTCCCAGTGTTAATCCCTGTGATAAATCAGAATTTGCCCTTTCACACTTTCCTGCCACTAGGTATCCTCTCCTTTCTTTTACCCCTTTTAGGAGGAACCAGGGCTGAAGTGTCAACAAGTGTGGCTGCAGAGGAGATGCGGGCCTCAGGAGCAGTACTCCTGGTAGAGCAGCCTTAGCTCCTGTGAGGTTCTCATCTAACTGTGTTGCTATTGGCAGAATTTCCAGAAGCTGCTGGGGGATGTCTGACTAGCTCCGATGGAGCTCCACTATCTTGCTAAGGAGAGCAGCCAGGCAGCCCTGTGTGATGCTGCGGACTGGAGTTCAGGAGGGCCTCCTGGTGACCAGGCAGATGCCGCTGCCACCAGAGCTGCTCTCTGCTGGCAGAGACACTGTACCTCGACACCAAGATCAGCCCAGATGGAAAGGTCTAAGCTTAGCTCTTCTCTAGCATCCCCCGCCTCCCCTCTGCAAGACAGTGTCATTCAGCCAGACTCCTTGCCACCAGGACCTCTCAACAACTCAGGGAACAACCAGATAACAGCAGAACGGAAAGTATGCAACTGCTGCAGCCAGGAATTAGAAACTTCTTTTACTTACGTGGACGAGAATGTCAACTTGGAGCAGAGGAACCGGAGCTCCCCTTCAGCAAAAGGGAATAATCACTCTGGAGACCTTGGCTGGGGAAATCCAAATGAGTGGTCCCATGAGGCTGCCATATCCTTAATATCCGAAGATGAAGATGATACAAGTTCAGAAGCCACATCTTCGGGGAAGTCAGTAGACTATGGTTTCATCAGCGCCATCTTGTTCTTAGTCACTGGCATCTTGCTGGTGATCATCTCTTACATTGTCCCACGGGAAGTGACTGTGGATCCCAACACTGTGGCTGCCCGGGAGATGGAACGCCTGGAGAAGGAGAGCGCGAGGCTAGGGGCTCACCTGGACCGCTGTGTGATTGCTGGACTCTGCCTGCTCACACTGGGGGGGGTCGTTCTGTCTTGTTTGCTAATGATGTCTATGTGGAAGGGGGAGCTCTATCGTCGCAACAGGTTTGCCTCTTCCAAAGAGTCTGCAAAACTCTATGGTTCTTTCAACTTCAGGATGAAAACCAGTGCTAATGAAAACACCCTGGAACTATCCTTGGTAGAGGAAGATGCTCTCGCTGTACAGAGTTAATTCTGGTTGTGAACTCCTTGAGAGTCTGCCTTGGCATTTTGTATGAAAAAAAATCCAACATATTTCTTAAAATTAATAGTGCAGTTTATTTGCCTGGGAAGAAAAGTTTATTTCCCCAACTAACAGCCAGTGAGTGTTTTTGTTCTCTCTCTGCTTTTTATTTAGAAAAAAAGCCATAAGATGCATTAAGACACAACCAGTGACGCTTGTCCTTCTAAAGAGCTGAGACTAATTAATCTGTATTGGCCCCCAGCTTCTACTTTATAGCAAAATAGATCTAATGACCCAGTGTACAAATGGTTTCTTTTACACCATATGGGATATTATTCTTTGGATACTAGGAGGTCCAACACACAGTAGGATCAATTAGTAACCTATTTTTTGAAAAAGAACTGAAGCACTAATCACATAATAAGGCTTATATTTAATTCTCAAAAGTGCTTATTCATTTTCTTGCTAAATTTTTTCTTCCTGTAATTTGGCTAAGGGTTTTGAGTTTAAACATTTTGAAGCTTGAGGATGTTGACTATTAAGGGAAAAAAATGTATAAATACATTTGTTATAGTTAAAATTATTCCTGCACTCAGAAGTGGTAACTAAGTCATTAGAATAAACTTTCTAGTAAAAGAAAATTATGTAAATCATTATAAGACCAGTCTGAATTTAACCTGGAATGGCGATGCCAGATATTAGCCAGTGTCGCATGCCCATTTTCTAGATGAAGTAAAATTAGTTGCTGATATAAATTTCATTTTCTGTTTGTGGTTTAGCCATCATATGGTTACTTATGCTCTTGAAGTCTTTCTTGGTTCTCACACCAGAGAGGCAAAGTATAAGACATTTTTAATATAATTCCAGACACTTAAACGTCTAGGCAGGTCTGAGTCATGACTGGCTCAGGCTCGTTCCCAGGTGACGCTTTGTTGTTGTCGTTTGGAGAAAACCTCCAGTGCAATTGCAGCTAGACTCTTGGGGACTGTGCCCACAAGCAGGTGTCACTTGCTCTAGGCCAAGCAACAAGCCATTGCCCCAGGATGGCAGCAGTCCTGAAGCCCACAGCCAAAAAATTAAAATGAGAAAACAGAGAAAGGTTAAGCTCACTGATTCAGTGGGCACTGCACTCCTCACCAGGACTCAGCTCCCCCTAACGATGGTCTAGGCATCATTCTGCGCACATTATATCCAGGCCCTTAGTAACTGGGAGATCTTGCCTCATGAAGTTCAAACTTGCTTGATGAGAGGCATGATGAGCAAAGTAGTCACAACTTTGCAAAACACACACCCAGCATCCTCACTAACACACTGTCTCCATACAGTTATGGTTCAGGAAGGTGGGGGGGAATATCAGAAATATCTTGCATTTTGCAACTACTCCTTGAGGTGTTTCCAACCTCCCACTGCAAGAGTGGTTTTAACTTCCATTTCTGTGTTACCAGGATCAGTGGGGTCATTCTTCAAGAGGACCGGAGCTGGAAATTGGGGTGGGAGGGCAGGGATGGGGAAGTAAGAAGGTGATTTCTTTGTAGATTCTAAAGCCTAATTCTAACGTCTGAAGTTTTCGTTGTTATTGAGGACTGTGGAATACGTGGGTGACTGGCTGGCGGAGTGTGTGAGTCAGGATATTTATGTGAGTGAGGTCTTGCTGGTGTCAGAGATCGATTTGATAAGTTAGGTACACTGTGTTACTAAGGGTTAAGATGAAATGCAGAAAGGAGGATCAGAGGATACTAAAAATAGAGAGGACAGGTATGTGAAAGAATTAGTAAGTAAAAATGAGAAATTATATGGGCATCAGAGGAAGCTAGATGTAACTTAATTACCTTACCCTATGTCACAGACTATTATTGATTCGGAAATAATTGGGACAATATAAACATGATTTTTGTTTTCTCTTGCTGGTTCTTTGTGCTTTTTGAGCAAACTTTTTGTTTTACTGTGATTCTCTGTCATGGTTTGTGTTGAGGCCAGCTTACCAGCGGTACAAATTTCATATTCTGAAGGTTTATCAATTGTCAGGTTCTTGCTGGCTTGAGGACCCACTTTGGATGATGTTGAGGCAATAGGGAAATGATCTTCTTGGCTGACTGAATAGGCCTAAGCTATGTGTTGTTTTAAAAAATACATGCTTATACATAGAAGGATTAGCTGAGGGAGATCAGTTGAGTTTTGTTTTCGTTTATTGGTGAAACAGGATTAATTGCCACATTGCAGGCTAAACTGAATTAATGTGCGGCCCGATTTTCAGCTTATAAAGGCAGACAAATTTGAGAATCAAGTGTTAGGAAATTTTTTCAATTCTGTTAAACTGATGATAAAGGAGAAAAAGCCAAAGATGTTCATTCAGAAGCGTTTAATGAATCTTGCAGTGGTACCAAATTATATATAGTTCTGATGTGATCTAAAGGATATATATACACATCTATACAGATATATATATATACATCTTCCAATATATATGTATCTACTTATCCCAATTAGGAAAAGAAAGTATAAAATATTCAGGGGGAAAAAAGACCTAACAAATCAGAATATATTTCTTCTTTTCCTTCCTTAAAATTTTAAAATTGAAATGTAGTAAGTAAATGCTTACTTTCAACAACATTATTTAAATCTGCTCATATATAGGGCAGATCTCTTTTAAGGCCCACCATTACACCAAAAAGAACCAATTCAGAAAATCCTCTGGAAATGTCCTTTAGCGCTATGTTGATGTAATTCGGATAACTGCCTTAACCAACTTTTCCCTGGTATTCTGTTGTGCAGCCCTAGTCCCCATCCTGTCAGTGCCTGAATTCAAGACGAAAATTACTTGAATTTAAGATCATGGTAGCACAGACGACAAAAAACCCTGAACTTTAGACCCTTTGTTTCCAATCTGACAGAGAGGGGTTGTGGCTCTAAATATATTTATTGAGAATTACTTTGGCAAGGTCAGGTGATAAATGTTACAGACATTGAACAGACGATAGCTATGGTGTTGGTCTTGGATTCTTCATGGAGATTTGTGACCTTACATCTCTCTCTTTAACCTGGGGCTGGTTGTTATCTATGAGAGTTCTTACTGCTAGACCTGGAGAAGCAAAACTCTTTTTTCAGAGGCCATAGTTTAGGTCTTTATTTACTAGGTTTTAGAAAACTAAACTCAGAGTCGCCTTCCTAATCATAAGAGAAGGCAGCTCATTGTTCAGCTGAGCTGTTCAGTATGGCCCAAAGGGGTAAGTATCAGAAAGAAAGCTGCCTTTCTCCATTGCTACTGGAATATACACTGCTAATGGACAGTTTTTAATAAACTGTTCCTTGTTAGGGCACCTTAAACTGTTTGTGGCAGAGCTGAAGCATTTTCTTTGCAATGCTGTGTGTCCTTCCCAGCCATTTGGAGCTCCTGAAGCAGACCATGTAATATGATGTACTGGCCCTCTCATAAGAAAAATATTTTCTCCAGGCTCCCCATTTCATAGCCGATTTATAGTTTAGAGGAGTACAGAACTGCTTGGAACCGTGCAGTTCTTGGTGGCTCTGGGTGCTTTTACCCCCGTGACTGCTCTGCCGCTTGATTCTATACTACCTAGATACTTGCCTTGATATCAATATCACATGCTTTGCTGTCTGCTTAAAGTACGAGTCCATCCCTCATGCTTATTTGTTTTAGGACCCAGTTGGACCAGTGCTGGCACATGTCCTTCAAGGTGCAAATTATGACAAACAGACTGCCCTGCCAAATTCATTTGTGCCTTCCCTTTGCCCCTGGCAGGGAAGGATAAGTGTGTGAGTGAGCACCATGCCAGTTGAATACCAGGAATTAAGGATCTGAACCCAAGGGGTTCTATGTTTTTTCAGTTCTTTGTGACAGGCAAAAATTCTAGGCAAGAGCATTTGAACATTTCAGCCTTCATCTTTCACATGTGCCATGACAGGCACATGCAGAACCTTACCTGGATTAATCATCTAAAGATGAAGAAAAAATTTCTATTTATCTATTAGGAAAAAGTTTTTCAATCTGAAGATCAGATTCCATCGCAGCAATTACTGCTACTACAAAAATGTGGTCTGACAAAAGAGATTCACAACCTTTATCCATGGTTCACCTGTTCAGTAAGGTTTAATACCACCAGCTAGATTCCACTGTCACAAAGGAATAAGACAGATCCTTACAGTTCTCTGAAATGGAGTTTAACCTTTCCCAGAATTGGGCACAAAGAATGACTAGAATGAAAAGAATTATAATGAAGTCTCACTGACTTTTATCAGTATAAAAGAGTTCATAAGAAAGAATTAACATATCATTGTCTTTCAGCTGATTTAAGCCATATCATTTTATGGTTCGTAGCATTCTATAATATTCTCTCCTTCCAACTTTTATGGGCTGGGAAATAATTTACCTGACTTGCGCACTGACACTGTAAAAAGTAAGGTGTTATTTTAAATACTTAAAATTGATTGCAAAAATCTGTGGCTTAAACTTAAGAGTGTACCTGTGGTTTATGTTTGTTAGTGTGCAAGTGTATGTACACTCAAGTCTATGTACGTATTAGGAGAATATTTTATAATTATAGAACCGTAATACCCAAAGTTATTGTTAGAGTAATTTTCTTATAGGAAACTTGGCATGCCTTAACGTTGACTTCAAGGACAAGGGAAGTCTTTCATAGATCATGAATGAAGAATTTGGAATCAACCTCAGAGGAGATGCCATAATTATATAGATCTGTATTGGTTGTTCAGCAATCCCACAAACATTTTATTTTATTTTTTTAACCTCTCAATTTCAGGCTCATAAGAGTGTGGCATATTTAGAAATTATTTTACCATGAATCATTATTTTATTTCAGAGAAATATGGGCAGCAGACAGTATTTTCCTTTGCTCCAAGTTTTAGTAACTCTCTTGTTTTTCAGGAGCAGCCATTCTTATTTTCCCACTGCTATCTTCGTGCTTCCTAGCCAGGCTCTGAACAAATGTACGAGAAAGCAAAGATGGGTTATGACTATATAGTTGAGAGGTTTTACTTTGTGCTTCTCATTGTGCTTTTAATATTACTTTTCTTGCCAAACAAGACAAATAATTTGATGTTGATTATGTGTTTTTTGATATTCTAAAAGGGCAGTTATTAAAGTTATGGGCTTTTCTTAGGACATTTGATCCCTTATATGTTAATAACAAGTGTGTCATATCATTTTAAAATAAAACTATTTATTAAGATGTTTTATTGTATTTCTTAAATTTTATTTAAGTTAACTAAAACTGTGATGCTGATTTGGTCTTTTTAAATTATATTTGAAATTATCTGCACCCCAAAATTAAAAGTAATATTTACCCCCGATTCATGTATAATATTCTTCTTGCTACCATATCATTGAATAATGTAAACTATGCCTTAATTTTTTTACCTTATATGAAATAGTCAAAGCTATTTGAGTTTCTCTAAATTACTCAGTATTGAACTTAGAGTGTGAATTGCACGATGTGGAAAAAAAAATAGATGAATAGATATTTTTAAAAACACTTATCTAAAAATCTAGAAAGCTTTTAGGTGAGAAACAAATACCAAATCAGCTTATGTCCCTGCTCTTAAACTTCTCTTAATCTAATTTTGATCTCCATTTTCATTTGAGGGATGCATCATAATTTATATTATTAAGCGGAATTTTATCCATCTTATGTATAAGTGCTGTCAAGGTTGAGAATTCTAAAGGGGCAATTTGAAGTGAGGCTCCACTTATTTAAAACAAAAATTGGATCAAGATTCTTATCTACTATAAAGGAGGAAAATCTAGTGGGGTTTTTTTTTCATATATATATTTTTGCTAGAAGACTATTTTTTTGGTTAACCACCTCCAGTCATTCAGAATGAGCTATACCATGCTGACAATTCCAGTCTCTTGATATGACCCTTAGAGGTCAGCAGGGAGGCTCTCAGGGACCCAGTCTGATGCAGTTACGTGTTCAAATTGTGCTGGTTGTCAAGGGAAAAAGAGTCTGAAAGGGTTGGAACAGGCCCTGCACATCCTCACAACTTGTTAGCCAGGACTAGTTACAAAGTTTCACTCACGCCAGGAAATGCA